AGTGAGTTTCTGGCATACAGTAGATGCCTAATAAATGTGCGTTGAATGACTCTAAAGTTTTCAATTCCCCTAGGCCTAACACAGTAGGTCCTTGCCACCTGTGTGACTTAGAACAAGTCACTTAACCTTTCTGGGCCTCAGTTTCCTCATTTTTAAAATGAAGGGATTGAGCTAAATGGCCTTCAAACCATTTGGCTTCTATCCATAAATCTATGATCTTTTGATTTTCCATCCTTGGCTCTTCCAGCTGTACCATTGTGCTTCAATTGTACCATACTGTCTCTTGAGCATTCTAATATACAATTGCCATAATAGAAGATAAAATTATGTTTATAGCCCTGACATTTAGACTTAAAGGACCTTGGCAATAGGTCAAAGGAGGGGAGTCCAAATTAATTTTGTGTGTGTGTGTGTGTGTGTGTGTGTGTGTGGGGGTGGGTGGCAATTGGGGTGAAGTGACTTGCCCAGAGTCACACAGCTAATGAGTGTTATGTGTCCGAGGCTGGATTTGAACTCAGATCCTCCTGACTCCAGGGCCAATGCTCCACCCACTGTGCCACCTAGCTGTCCCTCCAAATTGATTTTTGACCCTATTTAATCCCTCTTCAAAGTTGTACCAAGAGACTGATTTCCCCAAGCCCATGAAGTTGGATCAAAAGTTATAGCCTTTCACTTAGGTCTTTCTCTGATGTCTCATTGCTCCAGAGGTGGCCCTGGATTTCAGGTGTCTATGTCAGAAGATCCCAGGTTCCTTTCCAACTAGAAAGCCTTTGACTAAGAGCCAGCCCAGGACTGTGCGTCTTTCATCTGTGGGTCAGCCTGGATAAATGGGGAGAGGCTTATCAGTACTTGCATATATTTTGACCATAATAACTCAAAAGAGTATCTTCTAAGGCTTATGGCAAGGTTGTGATTCCTATGAGGAGAGAGTATCCAAATTGTTTAAGCACCCAGTAGAATATAAATTCCCTGAGGGCAGGGACTGTTTCAAAGCTCATCTTTGTTCCTTACACATCACATTGTATGTTCCAGTTCAATTTCAACCCCAATCTTGATGTGAGGGGTGGTATAGAAGGGATCTGTAGGTTTCACTAGGTTGCCAGAGGAGTCTTCATTCTTTCATTTTTTAAAAAATGTTTTGTGGATGCCTTTTGTCTTTATATCAGTCATCCATTTTCCCCAATCCCCACCACCAACTGAGCCTGCCCTTGTAACAAAAGAAAAGAATAAAAGAAAAAAATCCATTCTAAATAACTTATCTGACAAGACATACACTAATCTAGTACTACTGGTGCATTGACTATCTCCTTTCTCTGGGAAGGAATGTGCTTCCTTATCTCTTCTTCAGGACTTTATGACCCCCTTATTATATGACTTAATTTTAAGGCACAGCTGCTCAACTAACATTTCTTTTAAAATGTTTTATTGATGCTTTTAGAAGAATGGATGCTGTCATTTTCCAATAATTCTATTGTTCATGGAACTCCTCCTTTTCAACAAAGAACTATTATTAGGCAAAACTAACACTTGATGGCAACACTAACAATTCATGTCAATTGATCGTAAAACTAACAATTGATGTCTGTCGATGTATGGACAGTGTAGGGCTCTTTCCGTACCTATAATCTACCACCTCTGTACTGAGAAGAGGGAAGTGTGTTTCAGTCTCAAGATTGGCTTTTTGTACTGATCTGGGTTCTGATATTGTATAGTGTTCTTTTCCTTTACATGACTATGATCATTGTCTATATTGTTCTCTTGATTCTGCCTACTTGGATCTGCATCTGAAACCAAGAACTTTGAGGATAGCAGTGCCCCCCAAACACCTAGCCCAGCCCCCATAGCCATCATTGAAGGGAGAAATCATTGTGAAGAGAGTATCTACCTTACTCATCACCATCAGCAACAGCTACTGACCAACTGTCACTAACAGTTGGATAGGCACAGAAACTTTGGCAGCACCCACCTGACCACTGATCCTGTTTCCAGCCCAGCCCTCAAAGCCATCACTTATGGAAGTAGCAGTGTAGAGAACACCAGTATGCCTACCAACTGCCAACCAACTCCCACCCACAGGACGGGCAAGCCAGCCTGACTGGAGCAGTAAATACCGAGAGGAAGAGACAGGTTGTATCACATGCCAGGCAAGTCAAATCACCGCCACTGCCTTGACTACCATTTTGCCTCAGATGATGGGAAAATTTTGGACGATGATAATATACCTTGTTCACCAATGACAAGGCGCATGGTAGCTACCCTGGAAAGAGTGCTAGATTTAAAATTGGAATATTTAGCTTAACTGCTTACAGCCTGTGTGACCCTGGGCAAGTCATTTATCTTCCCTGGTCCTCAGTTTCCCTCATCTGTAAATAAAGGGGGCCAGACTAGATGATTTCTGTGGTCCTTGACAGCTCTAAATCCATGATCCTAAAGTAATTGTTATAACTGACTCCTATTTGTGACTAATCCTCTGGAAAAGTTCTGATTTACAATGCTTCATTAATGCGTTCAGATCTTTCTGTCCTATGTTTAGTATGTTTCATTTCCCACCCAAGATGCTTTTCTATTTAAGGGGCTCTGCCAAGAACTCGCTGTGTGGCCTTGGGTAAATAGCTACTGCTCTCTGGGCCTTATATCCTCCCCTGTACAATGAAGGGGGGAGATGGTTTAGATGTGACCCCCAAGGTCCTTTTTAGCTCCGTGATCCATGGCCTCACTTCTCAGGAGCTGAGGATCCTAAAGAAACCTAACTATTGGATTTCCTGTAGTGATTGTATATCTTCCATAGGCTTCAGGGGCATTTTTAAATGAGTTATTAAAATATGTTTAACATGCTAAGATTTGAGGCCCTGCCCACACAGCCCTGGGCTCATTTTATTAGTAGAGTTGTAAACAGAAGTTTAAAAAGTCTATGAAAAGTGTGTAAACCAGCAGTCTCCCTCCACCTACACCCGCACCTGCCCAGGGAGACTGAAGTACTGGTCTGTTCTCATTGACCAAGAGCACCTGTTAGCCAGCCCTCCTTAAATAAACAAGATGGAAGCTTATAGATGGCTTGTAGACTGGAGCCTTGGGGACGCATCTTCATGACCCCATTCGGGGTTTTCTAGGCAAAGATACTGGAGTGGTTTGCCATTTCCTTCTCCAGCTCATTTTACAGGTGAGGAAACTGAGACAAACACGGATAAGTGACTTACCCAAGGTCACGCAGCTAATAAGAGACTAAGGCTGATTTGAATTCAGAAAGATGGAGTCTTCCTGACTTCAGGCCCCATGCTCTATCCACTGTACTATGTAGCTGCCTTTTCTCTACTCCTTCTTATCTGGACACTTTTTTTAGTTCCACTTTGCAAGATAATCATCTATTTCTTATCACCTATGTGCAGGCATACCCCAAAGGTAGCTTCTGAAGACAGAGTCCCAAGGCTATGGCTTTGGAAGCCAAGGCTTTGCTAATCCTCCAGGGTTTTGGGATAGGCTCATGAACTAGAGCTGAAGGGACCTCAGAGGCCATTTTGTTTGCCCCTCTCATATTAAAGAAACTGAGGCTGAGGTAGGTTAAATGATTTGCTAAAGGCCACATAGGTCATCACTTGGACCCAGGTTTTTGACCTGAGAGCCAGTATTGTGTAGTCTGGTGGAGAGAGAGCTGGACTTGAAGTCTGCATAAGTCGATTTTAAATTTGGCCTCAGGCCCTTACTAGCTGTGTAACCTTGGGCAAGCCACTTAACTGCCCTCTGCCTCAGTTTCCTCATCTGTAAAAGGGGGATGATAATAACAACACCTACCTTCTAGAGTTGGTATGAATTTCCAATGAGGTAATATGTGTAAGCACTCAACATCTTTGCAAGCATACAAACAGTATGTAGAAGCTAGTTATTATTATAATTTTTAGTCTAAGATGCCTGGGAAGAACCATTTACTGGATGCTACATTGCTGCATCTTAGCAGGTTTTAGAGACTCCACAGGGTGTAGGTAAGTCAGTCGGCCATGGCCAAACCTTGGATGGGAGCTGAAGGTTCCTGGAGGCTCTTCCCTTCCACACATTTTTCTAATTTGGCACAGAGTTATGCATAATTTTAGTCAAGTGCATTCTCTTCCAGAGAAAACTCTGCTAATGGGATTTGTCCCACCAGTAGCAAAGGAATTCCGATTAGAATAAGGAGCTGGGGGGATGGGGATCTGGGCAGGTTGGACCACCTCCATAAATGACACTAGCTACATTCCCTTAGTGCTGGTCTCCATGTCCAGTTTGCAGCTGCTGCCACCTGGAAATGTCTACTAGCTCTCTGGGGTAGTTTGACCCCCATTCTAAGGGAATACTGGCTGTTCACCCAGCTTTGAGACATGATTCAAGACCAGGGAATTCAGCTTTTGCTCTACCAAAGGAAACAATGGCTTTGCTGGTACTCTTGGTATCTTGCAATAAAGAGGAGGAGGAGGGTGGTCCAGGGTCCAATTCCTTGCCTATCGTTTTTGTTGCTTCAAGGAAAAATGAACAACTTGATAATGAAGACCTGAAAAAGCAACCCGAATGGCTTTCAAAAACCTCACTGTTATTGGAGTCTATAGCTCCTTCAGAAATTCCAAAGTGAGAAGAAAACATTTAGGATGAAAAGCAAAGGAACATTGTAAGTAACACCCTTCCTCTGAATAAATAAAAAAAAGAGTGTAAAAATTAAGGGGAAAGACTTCAGAGCTGCCACCGAACACTCAGGGTTTGTAATTTCAAATTACAACTGCGTAGTTCTGAAAACTTTTATATCACTCAGGTCCACAGCAGTTGGTTCTGATCATCTCCTCTTCCTTTTGTAAAGAGAACACCCTGGCTCCTTTCCATGGGGAGAAATGAAAACAAACAAACCAAAAAAGATGCGTTGATTAAAATTAGAATGGAAAACAGTCCTGTTCTGTATCCCCCTTACCTCCCTCCACCTAGGTAAAGGCTATCTGAGATGAAAGGTGGAGCCAACCCGAGGAATAAAACACAGGGCGAAATTCATGTCCACTTCTTTAAATATTTATTGAAATGACATATAAAGGGTTAGCACTGTCTTTGCTGGCCCTGCCTGCAATTCCTGGAATCCAACAGCCCTGGAAATCACTCAGCTCCTCAGTGAGGTTGCTGGAACTTGCTAGTGAACTGCGTACTTTTCCTGTCTGTCTCCTCAAGATAGCTTTAAGAAGTCCAGCTCAGTGCATAAAATTGTGAAGTTTACCCACAAGGGTCCCAGCACAGGCTAGGAGATTGTTGGCATTTTTAAAATAACAGGAGCTGGTAAAGGTAGAAGAAACAACATGAGAAATCTTTCTCCCTGCTTTATTTAATACTTAGGTCTAAGAAATTTGGCTTCCATCCATTTTCTGCCAGCTCTTTAAAACATGAGTGACAATCACAGCCTTAAGTTATAAAATAAGGAGATATATAACATGAGAATACACTTATTGTCTGAATAATAAACTTAAGACAGCTAAAGAGCTATTAGGTTCTCAGGATTCCTGGACTTATAAAGAAGATATTCAAACCCCCACAGCAAAATGCTACACTGAGAGCCCAAATCTTGAGCATCTAAGGATGCACCCAAAACAGCTCATCCTTTTAAAGTTGCTAAGGTCTTGGCCATTGCACTTAACTGGAGAGAATCCAGCTGGGGAACATGGGGACAGCAAGACCCTAATCGAGTTACTGGGATTTGTAAGCCAACAGCTGGGATACATGTCTCACAGTCTTTTTAACTTTGAGCATGCTGAAATGCAGGGAAGCAATTCCCCCACTCATTGTAATGGGAGTACGACACACTGCTGATTCCTTCCCTAAAATGATAGAAACCGCAGCTAATAAATAAGAGAGAAAAGGAGGCAGTGAAGAATAAACCTGGAGATTTAGCTGCTTGGTTGCCAAATGAAAATGTGGATCAAGGTTAGACTCGGGACATGCTGAGGTTTTATCGCCTCTCCCAGCCAGAAGGATCATGAGCGAAGAGGCCTTGGGGGGAAAAGTCTGCTGACTTCCCAGATTCCAGGTGATTTCTGAAACAAGCGGGTAACTGGACTGGTAGGAGTAGATGATCAGGCATGATCCCAAAGCACCTTTTGAAGTTACTGGAGTTCCATTAACAGTGTTTTTATAGCAGAAAAATCTATAGCAACCACAGCCACAAATACCATACAGAGTGATACAGCTGTGACTTTTTTTAAGTACCCCAGACTTACTTTTCAAAGGGAAATCCAAAGTATCAATGTGGTAGGGAAAAAGATGGGGAGAGAAGTTACGTCCCCAACACAGTGTCGAGAGTCTCTTCACCTCCAGTGTGTGCAGCTGGAAGTCCCTTCTACACTTTGAGATAATCATTTTTGAGCCTCCCTAACCGGGTGCCATGGCTTCGGATGGTTAGGGAGAGCAGCTCATACTTATCCCTCAGCCCTGCGGAGACATCCAAGGTTTCCTTAAGCAGAGACCTGGTGTGAATCAGCATCCCCAAAAAGTCATCGTTAAGCCTGCCCTCCTGCCTGGCCTCCTGATCCCGGCCCTGCTTGAACTTGCTCTCCAGCTCAGTGAGTGACTTGTCAGAGTTGGAGTAAGCATCGCCGATCTGATTGGATTCCCGGCGCAGGTACTTTCCGTAGCTTTCCTCTCCATCCAGGTCATAGGAGATGCTCTTGCTGATGCCCTCTAGCACCCTGCCAGCATCTTCTACCTGTCGCCCCAGCACGGTGAACTCCTCACGCAGGGTGAGGCTCAGCAGACTGCTAGCCTGGCCTGTCTCTCCTTGGGGGCAGCGTCGGTGGTCGCTCACTCGGAAGAGCAGCTGACACTTCTCCGGGTCATCATTCTCTTCGTAGTCCCCGTCCGGCACAAAGTAGTGATGCAGGGTCCCGTTGGACATCTCTGGGTAGAGGGGCCCATCAAAGTAGCCATGGCACAGATGGCAGAGGAAAGTCATCCAGATATACCACAGCACTGGCATCCTGGAGACTAAAGCTGGAGCTGGTGGAAAGATGGCTAGTGATCAGAGAACCCGGCTTCCAGCCACTAGTAGAGTGAAATGAAGCAGCCCCCTTCCCTAGCCCAGTCGATGCCCTGGTGAAGCAGCAAGCTCAGCCTGAGTCCCAGCCTCTTTACTGCAGCCAGAACCCAGGCACTTAGCAGGCTTCATGTGGGTTCACCACAAAGAGCATCTCCTTGGCAGTTTTTGGTATTCACCTACAGGTCTTCAGGATACGCTCTTCCCACGTCCTTCCTTGAGAGACACCCCTCTCCCTGGCAGAAATTCAGTGTGCTTGCCTCTGAGGAAGGAGGGGATCCCTTTCCTCTAGCCGAGGACTCAGGTGGTGTCTGTTCCGGGGATTTCCTTTTCCCACTCCAAGCCTGGTCCCTTCTTCCTGGGAGATGGAACGGGCAATTGAGCTGAAGGCAAGAAAATCAGGAAGAAAGGGAAGGACGCTTGCAAACAGATAGTCCTGTCTGGGTCTTTGGACCGCTTGCTACTATTCCAACTCCTGGATTGGGAATGCGGAGCTTTTCCTCTGGCTAATGATATCCTTAGGATCTCCAGGCTCTCAAATTACAGCAGGGTTTCGTCACTTAGAAGCCAGGGAACAAGTTTGGAAAGAATCCTTTCGCCAGGTCTCCGTTATTAAAGCTACAGGGTCTCTTTTTCTTTATAAAACAAAAATGAATGTGAGTGAACGTCTCCAGTATAGAGTTTTAACTTGAAAATAGGGAAAGGCAGGACTTGGCAGCTAGTGAAGTCCAGAGGCTTTTCCAACCCAAACCGTGAGTGAGTTGGAGAAAACAGACTGTCCCCTGATGCCTTCCCTGCAGAAACTCTGCTTCTCCACTTAGCTGTCAGGCTAAACCTTCCCAAAATTCTATTTTTGCATTTGCACTTGAATCTCTGGGACTTAATCAGAAGGCAGGGAAATGACAGATTGGATGAGAATTTTAGGATTAAAGGCAAAACACCCTACTACCATTTAAAACATCAGCAAGAGAGGAGAGGAGACACTTTGACTTTAAATGCTGTTTGGTTTAAAAATAGAAGCTAGGGAAAGAAATTGCATCCTGTGCAAGATGGCAGTGGGGACATTTTCTTTTTAAGAAAACAGCCAAATTTTAAGCCCTGACATTTCTGTTCTCTTGCTTATGCGGGGGAATGGTCTCCCTCTTTTTTTCCCTCTCTGTAGCCACTTGAAATATCAACCATCCTTCAAGGCCCAGCTTAAAACGCCACCTCTACCATGAAGCTTTCCTTGATCAACCTGGCCAGAACTAGTCTGAAATTTTAGAATCAAAAGACCATAGGTTTACAACTAGAAGAAATTTTGAAACCATTTGGTCCAACTCCCTCATGTTACAGATGAGGAAATGAGGCCTAGAGAGGTTAAGTCAGTTGTCCAAAGTCATACAGGCAGAAATAGAAGACCAGATTGAGATCCCAAGTCATCAGACTTCAAAACCAGCTTTCTCTGTACTGTGCCAAGCTGCCTGATGTGTGGACAGCACTGTGTGTTCCTTTTCTGCTCTTAATCAGATTCTATTCTGGTCCTACGAACACTATATAATTACATATTTATGTGTATTTATATAATATAAGAAGCAGCTAGATGGCTCAGTGATTGGGTCTGGAGGCAGGAAGACCTGAGTTCAAATCTGATTTCAGACACTTATTAGCTGTGTGACCCTGGGCAAGTCACTTAATCTTTGTTTGCTTTTATCCACTGGAGAAGGAAATGGCAAACCTCTCCAATATCTTTGCCAAGAACCTACCCTTCCGGCCCCCATGGAGTCACAAAGAATTGGACATGACTAAGCAATTGAACAACAACAAATTTAATATAATTATATAATTATTAAAACTAATTATAGGTTCATCTGTGTGTTCATCTATGCTCGAATAACCTCTGTTAGAACAGGAGGGGGTATCTTTTTAATATTAGAATCTCTCCTCCTATCTGATATAGTGCTCTGCTTTACTCTTCTGAGTATTAAAAATCATTCCCTTCATAACTGGATAAAGTGTTGGGGATGGAAATCAGGAACACTTAAGATCAAATTCTATTTCAGACACTTACTAGCTCTGTGACCTTCGACAAGTCATTTAAACTCAGCCCCAGTTGCCTGGAACTTTGTAGGTAGTTTCTGAGTATAGAAACACACACACACATACACACACACACACACACACACACACACACACACCAAAACAAGAAGAAAAACAAAAATGAAAAAGAAACAGTCCTTCCCTTCAAGCAACTTACTTCTGTTCTATTGGATATGATCTATTGGTTGTTGTCTTGAGATGAATTTATTCTAGAATATATTTTTTAAAGCAAACTTCAAAAATATGTCTTATTTGTTTAAAAGAAACAACAGTAACAGTAACAAGAAGACCTAGCCTAAAATTTTAAGTGACTTCAAATCTGTTATTGCAAAAGGAATTCCTGCTCAGAGACAGAATAGACTTGTGACCTCTGATGTCCCTTCATCTCTGAAATTCTGTGCTTTTACAATTCTTTTAGCTCAACTTATATTCACAAGAGCCCTATAAAATCAGCTGAACTGTTGGGACCATCCCCATTTTATAGATGGGAATGCTAAGACACAGGAGACAAGTCATTTGCCCAAAGTCATGCAGTTTGTTGGTGGTGGTTAAAGCAGTTTCTATTAAGTAAACTATGATGTCTTTGCTCAGCTGACAAAGCTTCTAGATGAACATTCTTGAGAAAAGTTCCCTCCACTTTTTAATTTATATGTCTATCACATGGTTATATTGTTCTAGCAGACATTTGCCTGCTGATAGGCTGTCCTGCTTCCTTTTCCACTCTGATTTCTTGTGCCATGAAAAGTCCCCTGCATTCCCCCAAATGATGATTTTTGTCATTAGTCTGTTTCTTCCCCTGAACCCGAACACTTTTTGAGCTCTGTCCATCAGTGAGCTGTTCTAGGAACCATTCTTCACATTAATTTCTGTTTACTCCAACTGAGTATGTGTCTACATGACATCAAACACCTGGATGAAAAACGAAGGATCCAGGCAATCATTTGGACATTCTGCCTTCCTGATGCCAAACATCTGGACGTTTGGAAATGTCCAAATGATTGACAAAATTTTCCAGTTTTTAATCCAGATGTTCGACATCAGGAAGACATAGGGCTTGGCTAGTTTATTGTGTGTTTGTATCAGTCATAATGGTTTGCCATATTTTCCCAGGGCTTTAGGGAAGAAAGCTGTATGCTTTCCTCCAATTGTCCTGGCTGGCTGATTTAGGGACTTCAACCCTCCTTTTCTGGGACTGTAACAAAAGATATAGGCAATTGGCCTGTGTCAAAATGTATGATACAAACCAATGGGGGAAGGAGGAATTTTTCTGTGATCTATTTTACCTAGGGACATAGACTTCCCCTCCATAAAACCTTCTCAGACTCATAAGATCATAGGGACCTCAAAGGTCCCTACACACTAAATCTAAGGTGCCTTGACTTAGAAGTGACTTCAAAAATCACCTATTCCAATGCTTTCATTTTACACATGGGAAAACTCAGTTGCAAAATACTGTGGGGGTGGAAAAGATGTTATAATCTTCATTGTTCAGATGTGGAAATGAAAGTGCAGAGAAGTGACACGATTTACCCAAGTTTGCACAGTAAACCATGGACAGAGCTAGGATTAGAATCCAGAACTTCCTAATTTTGTATTCAATATATTTTCATTATACCTCATTGCTCTGTATATGAGTCAACAGGCAATCAACAAAATTTATGGAGTAATCGTTGTGTGTGGTATATTGAAGGTGAAACTTTTAAGAAATAAAAGCTAATCTATTAAGGGAGAAAAAGAGAGGCAGGGTAAGGTAGTGAAAATAGAGTGCTAGATTAGACTGTTCCTTTACCTAAAACTGAAATTCTTTTATTCATTCATTCACTCATTCATTTATTACTATCTGTGTGACTTTAAGCAAATCATTTCGCTTTTGTACTTTGGTTACCCTGAGGCCATTTTGAAGTCTGTATTTATAGTAAAGGATTTGCATCTGGACTTCTGATGTAGCAGCAGGTTGCTACTTGTGTGTAATTATTTGTCTTCAGTAGGAGATACATTTAGGTAACCTCCAGTGAGGCGTTGAGTTTTTACCATTTTCTTGCATAATCAACATTGGTCAATAAAGTTAGGTTTCTTAAGCCTAAATTACCAGTTTGTACTTTCTGGTGTTAAAGATCTGGTCCTGAAATTACTATCATATATCCCTCCAGTCTATAAATAAATCTGCTTGACTCACTCGCATGATTATTGTTGCTCTGTTCACATGGTGTTGGTGGAAATCATGCGAATGTCGTTCATGGAAGGACGTTTGTTTTCACTGTTGTATTTAAGCTGTTTCATAGGTTCCATCTGGACAATTAACAGCTTTTGGTTACATTCAACAAATCCAATGATGTGTACCTATTGTTAGCTTTTACTATTACTCAGCAATGTCATATTTACTTGTTCCAAATATATTTTTTTGTGATTTTGTAATGTGTTTATCGGGGGTTCTGGAAGTATCTACCAAGCCTCCTCCTCCTTTTTCGGAAAACCAGAAAGTATTACTGTTTCAACTGCTGACTTGATGGGATGGGTTCTATACTTTGTTTGTAATTCAATAAAGCATCCCTTAAGTACCTACTGTGTCAGTGGGTGATAGGGATACAGAAACAAGTCATCATAGTTCCTGCCCTCAAGAAACCTTCTATTGAGGGCAGGTAGGTGATGCAGTGGATAGAGCTCCAGCCTTGGAGTCAAGAGGACCTGAGTTCAAATGTGGCCTCAGATACTTGACATTTACTAGCTGTGTGACCTTGGGCAAGTCACTTAACCCCAATTACCTCAGCAAAAAAGCAAAAAAACAAAAGAAAAGAAAAGAAACCTTCCGTTGACAGGAGAAAACATAAATAAATACAAAGTTTAAACAAAGTAATTTCTAGTGAGAAGGCTAATACAAATAACATTTTGTTAACAACAGAACCAGGAGTCTAAAGGGCACAAAGGAGGGTGAAGGAAGAATGGGATAGGGACACCAAAAGGAGTTGGGCTGATGTGGATAACTACAAGAAAGTAAGAAGTAATACCAAGCCAACAGGAGGGATCCTTGAGGTTTATAGTTCACATCTTGGCATCCTGGGGGAGGGGATGTATGAGTTAAGGAAGGACAAGAAGTAAAGATTCCAACAGCATAATAGAAAAGGGACAGGAGGGGCAGCTAGGTGGCACAGTGGATCGAGCTCTGGAGGACCTGAGTTCAAATCCGGCCTCAGATCAAACATTTGACATTTACTAGTTGTGTGACCCTGGGCAAATCACTTAACCCCAATTGCCTAAAAAGGAAAAAAAAATACAAAAAAAAAAAAGAAAAGGGATAGGAAGAAAGACCAACTTTTTCCTTCCCAAGAAATCTTCTGATCTCTAATTTAAAATACAGTTAGAGTTAACAACTCTCAGATAGTTATGGGTGTTTTTTTCTCAATATCAACAACAACAACAAATTGACACAGCTAGGGAAGATATAATCCATCTTC